TTAAGCCATATGCGCTGGAAATGATTGAATTAGTTTGTAGATTGGAACAGAGAAAAAAAAACTTGGGGCAATTCCACTTTCAAATGATGTGACACAGTCAAGAATAGTTGAAATTTCTTGCAATATCTTGAAAAAGATCATCGATGAATTGAAAGTATCGCCATTTCCCTTTAATATGCAACTGGATGAAACTACAGATATCTTGAATTATAGTCAACTTCTTGTTTTTGTTCGTTACGTGTCTCTTGATACTATCAAAGAAGAATTTTTATTTTGTGAGTCTCTTTTGCAAACTACAAAGGCAGTTGATGTTTTAGCAATGTTAAATGTTTTCTTTACTAAACAAGACTTCGGCTGGAAAGAAAAACTTCATTCACTTCGTATAGATGGAGCACCTGTGATGCTTGGCAATAAATCTGGTTTTGCCCTGTTGGTGAAAATAAAGTCTCCTAATGTTCTTGTTACTCATTGTTTTTTACATAAACATGCGCTGGCTACAAAACTCTTCCAACCAGCTTAAAAGAAGCATTATCAAAAGTTATTAAAACTGTAAATTTTATTAGACGTAGAGCTCTTAATCATCGTCTCTTTAAAACGTTGTGTCAAGAAATGGAAGAAGAACATGAGGTACTTCTGTACCACACAGAATTGTCACGAGGGCAGGTTTTGAGACAATTTTTCATGTTGATGATCGAATTTTCACTTGAAAGATTTTACCTATAAATTGGCTTACCTGGCAGATAATTTTAACCACATGAACAATATAAGTCTTTTAATTCAAGGACCCGATATTACCATTATGGATGCAACTGAGAAACTACAAGCATTCTAATTGAAGATGCCACTTTGAAAAAAATAGAATTCAAAATGAGATATATACAAACTTTTAAATGTTGGACGAAGTGCTTTCTGAATATTGGATCTTGGCAAGATAATTTGTTACAGATAACTTAAAAATAGAAATCTGTGAACACCTGGAAGTACTTCAAGTTTCATTGAAAAAATATCTTAATTTAGATGAGATAAAGATAAAAGATGAGTTATGGATTCGTCATCCTTTTCTTTGTGATATTGACTGTATTGATGATTATGAACCTTACCAAAGATGAGCTTATTGGTCTTAGAACAAAGTATTTGCTAAAAATGGATTTCGATTCAAAAACACTCGGAGAGTTCTGGTCTTCTGTGAAAGTAGCCTACCCATTGCTTGTAAAGCGAGCTATTTCAGCTGTAATTCCGTTAGCTACAGTGTATCTTACAAAGCTGGACTTTCCAGAGTTGTGACAATAAAAACAAAACATCGTTATTGATTGAATGTTGAACATGTTATGCGCGTTGCTTTGTCGAAAACCATCCCTCTGTTCAATTTATTAATTAAGGAAAAGCAGCAACAGCCTTCAGACTAAAAATTTTAATTTTAAATATTTTGCATACTATTGAAATAATAAAATTAAATGCTAAAATAAATTAAATACTAAAAATTGATGTTTTTTGCAATATTTTTTCTCAGAGGGGTGGTCCGTGACTTCTAAAAAATTTTTAAAAGGGGTCCATTGTATCAAAAAGGTTAAGAAACACTGAATTAGAGAAACCCAAGCCCCCGGAACGATAGTCGGATTACCGCGACTTCCGCTATAGAGTGGAAAGGAGTATAAGCGTTTCATTTCGACCGCCAATATTTGATTTTTTTTTTTTTTTTGTTTGGCTGATTTTCGGAATTTTAAATATTGGGAACTGCGCTGGAATATGCTAAAATCGTGATTTTTAATCAGATGATTTTAATATCAATCATCGATTTTCGCATTTAACTGATTTAAGACTTACGTGTTGCGATTTTTTTTACGCTATTTAAAAATCGTACTAGCAATTCCTATTCACTCAATTTAAAAATTCAATATCGCGATCTGTATTCTCGCGAGTTTAAGATCCAACTTCGCTATTCGTATTCACGCATTTTTAAATCCAATATTGCGATTCGTTATCACGCAGTTGTAATATCAGATCTCGTTTTTCGTATTTGTACGCCATTTAAAAATTACTCATTGCGATTCGTATTCACGTGATCTGAAAATTATGCATCGTGATTCTTATTTACGCGATTTAAAAATTCAATATCGCTATTTGTATTTTCGCGTTTTTAAAATCCAACAGTGCGATTCTTATTCACGTGATTTTAAAATTCAAAATCGTGATTCATATTCACGCGATTTTAAAATCCAACCGAACGATTCATATTAACCTGATTTTAAAATCCGATAGCAATAGTGAATGTATGTATAATTGT